CCTATCAGTGCTTTCATCAGCCCTGCCCAAGGCTCGCAAACACAAGGTCCCGAGTTTGATCCCCGAAAAAAAAAAAAAAAAAAAAGAAAGGAGTCTTGAGAGTAGGAAAAGAAACTAATTTGTTTATTATCATTATCATCATCATTATTATCAGACCATTGCTTTCTCTTCCCTTTCTATAATTTTGTTGGTTAGGACAAATTTCTCTATATTTCCTTTCTGTCTCTCTGTCCCTGTCTCTCTCTTATTTTTTGAGACAGGGTCTTACTATGTATTCCAGGCTGGCCTTGAAGTCCCAGCAATCCTCCTGCCTCAGCCTCCCAAGTGCTGGGATTACAGCATGGGCCACCATGCTCGGCTCTCAAAATAAAATTTAAAAAAGACTGAGGATGTAGCTCAGTGCTCCCTGAGTATGACCCAGAGTGGGTGAGATGTCTGTGAGACTAAGTGTTCTTCATTTCTGTCTCTTGATAACAGATGCTTGTCTAAATCAGAAACAATAAACCAAGAGGGAAAAAGTTAGAAAAACCCCCACTTATATAAAAGGTCCCAGAGTACCACAAAATAAATAAAAATAAACTCACAGGAAATATTCCTGACGGCAACATTTGGTAAATGAACATATAAGGGATATAAGCAGAAGACTAGAATAAAGGACACTACAATTTTTCCTACCTCATTTTCTACACCTTTCAGCATCTGCTCGCCTGTCACACCTAGTCTGTGCCTCCCTGACAAGGCTGGGCGCCTCGTGGGGCACCTGATGCCATCAGCGGCCTTGTACTCCCTGCTGATCTGTGCTCTCCAGGTCAATATTCGTGCTTCTGCTCCTGACCATCCACACACCTTCCACATGTATGTAGCATGGAAACCAAGAACTCTTCCTTCCCAGGGATGTGAGTCTCCCTCCACTGCTGCAGGGCACACTCACCACCTTGTCAGGAGTGTTCAAATACAGGTCCACGAGGTACTGGATGCGCTCCTGCAACATGCCCATGTCATCATCCGGGTACATAAGCTGCATGAACTCGGGGTTTTCCAGAGTCTCCAGCGTCAGCTGGCAGATAGAAGCCTGGTTCGCCTTGGCAGCAACATGCATGACATTGTACCTACATCCTTCCTGAAAGAAAACCCGTGTTCTGAGCTCTGTTTTCACAAGTACAGTGCACAGTGGCAGGACGTGCGGGACACAGCCTCACCTGTACGATGGTTGGGGTGTCCCCTGAGCCAATTAGGTACCGGGGATTGCTCCAGACGAGGTCGGAGAAGGCCTTTTCTTCTCCCTGCTCCACGGCTTTCCGTAGCTTAGCAGTGAGGTCCTGTGTGCGGGGGCTTTTATAACTGTTTGCTCCCTCTTTGTTTATTGTTTCTGATTCGGACAAGCACAAACCATCTGAGATCAAGAGAGAAATGAAGAACACTCAGCCTTGTAGACATCTTGCCTGCTCTGAGTCTCACTGAGGGGTGAGCCCACTCTGGCCCAGCAGCCTTGGCATCGAGGTGAGATGGTGACAGTGCAGGCACACAGCTGCAGCTGCATGTCCTGCCAGTACAGCAGGAGCCAGTCACCACAGGCACCATCAGACCCAGACAAACTCCAGCCAGGAGAGCTTCTGAACAGGCATCACTTAGGGGGTTTCAAAAAGTAAGTCAGCTGTGCACGGTGGCACATACCTATACTCCCAGCACCCTGGGAGGCCGAGGTAGGAGGACTGCACATCTGATATTAGCCCAGGCAATTTAGTGACACCCTTTCTTGATTAAAAAGGGGATGCTGCTAGGGATGTAGCTTAGAGAGAAGACCCTGGTCAATCCATAGATGCCCTCCCCCCACTAAAAAAAAAAAAAAGAAAGAAAGAAAAGAAAGGAGGGAAGGAAGGAGGAAGGAAGGAAGCTCAGTCAATTTTGGTGGGTGAGGGATCAGTCACACTCGCAGCGTCTCTATGCTCAAGTGTTCCAGTCACACACATCCCACACGGCTCAACGGGACAGGAGCCTGCTCTGAGCTGAGCAGAGCATGGGATGAGATTTCTGCTCTCACAGGGAGCTTGGCTCCAGCAGGTCCAGAAGCAGATGCAGCTTCAGATGGGGAGAAGGCTGCTCTTAGCAGAGACCTTGACCCCAGCAGATAGCACTAAAGGGCCAGCGGTTCCGTCTTCCTCTGCTCTTCACCTCAGAGTCCACTCAGCCACCAGCTGCACCCTCCCATCCCCAAACCTCCCCAGACCAAGCCCTGGACCCTGGGCCTCGGCTGTCCCACCACAATGTCCTGCCACACCAGACTCTTTAGGGGAGAAAACAAGTCTCCATCATCAGGACGGAGGACACGAGGTGTTTCAGAGTAACTGCAACCATGACTCCAAGAAGGAGCCACCAAGTGGTTTACCTTTCCACCCTCCACTGCTGAAGAGCGGAGCCACCTTCCCAGGGGACAGCGGGGACGAGGCTCTGTTCGGAGAAGGAAAATAATCACAAATTCCTCTAGCAAATTTCTCAGCATCTTCTCTGGTTGGAAAAGCTTTAAACCGGGACCCTTTGATCATTTTGACAGCTTGCAATGCTTCCTTTTTATCTGCATAAACATGGATCCTTTCTGGGTGGGAAATGTGACAAAGGAAAATCAGGAATGAGTAACTGGAACCCCAGTCACTTAGCTACACCAAGGGTTTAATAGTCAAATAAAACAGTTGTTACCAAGAAACCTGATTTTATTCTTGTATCATAGTTCAGATGTTTAGTCTTGAAGAAAGAGGTCCTGAGCCAAAAGAACCCAGTTAATAAGCTTGACCACACAGAGGTGTGTGTGTAGAAACGTGACACTGTGTATTTCTACCTAATGCCAATCCCAACAAATTATACCATACTAAGAAACAGTATATGGATTAAAGACCTAATAAAAATCGATTTTAAAATTTCAATAACTTTGAAAACATTAGCAAAGAATTTAGGAGAATTTTAAGCATAATTTTGGGTGGGGTGTGCTTTTCTATGCATGCCTAGGCACATCCATAAAAGGACATCCATAATTAAAACTACAAAGAAAAAAGACTTCTGATTATACAAAAATATCAACACCCTACAGAGAACTACCACAGTCGAGTTTGTAGGGGACTATCATTAATAGTACAAGTGATGGAATGGTCAACGTCCACTGCTTGCTAACAATGGCCAATGTACATGACAAGCAATCATCGAATAGGACTAACTAGATGAGAAAGGAAAGCAGCCTAAACCCACTCAGCGAGGCCTTGCAGACACTATGGGAATGCAATAGCACACATACACTGGCTGAACTCACACTGCCACTTTCCCTTTCAAGATAAAATGAGATGCATTTTGGAGGGGGGGTTTTCAAAGTTTTACCAATGGATCCCTTTTAAGCCTGCACTTCTACATACTATTTTTTTCTTTTGGTACCGGGGATCGAACTCGGGTCCTTGCGCTTGCGCAGCAGGCGGCGAAACCACTGAGCTAAATCCCCAGCCTGCACTTTTTATTTTTATAAAAATAGTATGTAGGGGCTGGGGATTTAGCTCAGTGGTTTCGCCGCCTGCTGCGCAAGCGCAAGGACCCGAGTTCGATCCCCGGTACCCCCTCAAAAAAATAAAATAAAATAAAAAATAAAAAGTGTGGTCTGTATATTTGCATTCATACTTTAGTAAATTAAAAAATATACTTAGATCCAGCTATACCTCCTCTGGGTATCTTCCTGGAAGAATTAGACATTACATCACAGTGATCCATGTACACCCATGTTTGCAGCAGTACAGCTCATGATAGCTGAATCTCGGAAGCAGCCTATATTGTTATGCCCATGAATGGATAAAGAAAGTGTGGTATTTATACACAATGGAGTGCTACTCTGCCATAAAAAAGGACAGTCTTGGGCCAGGGATTTAGCTCAGTGGTTCTGCTGCCTGCCTCGCAAACGCAAGGTCCTGAGCTCGATCCCCAGTACCAAAAAAAGGATAAACTTAAGTCATTTGTAGGAAAATAGATGCACCTTGAGACCATAATGGTAAGTAAATCAGGCACACAAGCTTAGATACTGCATGGTTTCTTTTATATAAGAAACCCAATATATAAAGTGCAAAATAAAAGACTAATAGGAAGAAAAACAGAGAGAGAAAAAGTTACTGTAATCCAGAATAGCTGATGTACCTGAAAGTGTACCTTGATTTAGTATAATTGTCTTAGGTGTTTTATATGTTTTTTAGTTTGTTAGTCTGGCTGTTAATCTGTGTTTATGATAATTAATTTGACTTATAAAATAAATAAATGAATTTGATGCTGGCAAAAAAGAAGGGGAGGGAAAAAAAAAACAAACTGAGATGTGTTACATACATGTACCAATTTCCCACAATGAATGTATTCATTACGTACTGCAAACACGGACTAAAAAAAAAGTCGGGGGCCAGAGATTTAGCTCAGTGGCGCCACTGCCTGCCTCACAAGCGCAAAGTCCTGAGTTCGATCCCCGGTACCAAAAAAAAAATGTTGGATTTGATTTTAAAATAAATTTTACTATTCCTTGGCCAGGTATGGTGGTGCACACCTATAATCCCAGCACTTGGGAGGCCGAGGCAGGATTGCTACAAGGTCAAGGCCAGCCTAAACTACACAGCAAGACCTATTCTTGATCATAACAAATCCTATTCTTTTTTTTACAAACACTATTTTTTACAAATACTATTCTTGCTCCTAACAGTTATACATTCATAGGCCATTATATTCATTAACCCCTAGTGTTTATACTGAACAAAAGAGGGGATAATCCTGGTTCCAAACAAATTGCAGACAGCTAATCAGTATTTCTGAGTGGGACAAAACTCACAGAGCTCAGTTTCACAACAATTTAAAATTTTCTCACACAGATTTACAGAAACACAGGAAGGCAGCCAAATGTCAAAAATGGTTCATCTTTTTTTTTTGTGGTACTAAGGCTGAAGGACAACCCCGGTCCTTTTCATTTTTTAATTTCAGAAGCACCCTGTTAAGTCACTAGGTTGCCCAGCTGGGGCAAACTTTTTTCTTGGGGGGGGGGGGGACCTATTTTGTGCTTTACGAATAACTCTTTAGTCTCAGGAACCAAACTTACTGGTTATTAACACCATCCAACACTTTAATCTGTATTAGGTTATCATAATTGTTTGGAGCTTTTGCTCTGTTTTCTGAGGCAGAGTCTCACTATAGTCCGGGCTTCATTCCGCTTGCCTCAGCCTCCCTGTGCTGGGATCACAGGCCTGTGCACCACATCCTGCTCAAAAGTGGTTAATCTGGACTCAAACGCTCATGGGGACCGAGCAAACTTTTCTTTTTCTCCGTAGTTTTCAGTGTTTACCCGACTTGTGTGAGGACACACATAGAGCAACTCATTACCGTTTCTCGTGGGGCCATCGTCATACACGGGGCACACACCGTAGTACAGGGCTGGTGCCTTGGTGACCGTCTCTCCAGCCTTCTGGGTGCCAATCCCAGCCGAGGCACTGAGGGGCACTGGACAGGTCTGGGACATCACGGCCTCCTCCTCTGGGGGGTTCAATCCCACATTGTAACCAAAATCTCTGTCCTCAGAGCAACTGGCCCTTGTGCCCGCAGCAGTGATCAGCATGCTCGGTGTGTCCGGGCCGACATGGTTGGGAAGGGAGGCAGGCAGTGCCCCACCCTGCTCCAGCAAAGCCTGAGCCAACTTCTTCTCAAACACAAACCGGGTGGTTGCCGTGATGGGCCCACACTTCAGGCCAGCTCTGACAATCTCTTCTCTAAGGTCATCTGGATTCAGGAGCTTCAGCCGGGCCAACACTGTCTCCATTGTCACAGTGCCTAGGGACAAGACAGCAGAGATGGATGAGCTGGGCAGTGGACACTCAGGTGGCACCTGTGCGTGGCGTATGTATGCACTTGGGGCCTATGAGACCTCCCCTCACACCACCTGTGTCCTCACTACCTTTAAGCTGGCTGCTGATGTGAGGGAGGTTTTGCTCTTGCAACGAAGCCAGCTTAGGGCTGCACCACTGTGACCTTGGGCATTTTTGAAACCCAAAGCCTGTTTCCTCACCTATAAAATGGACATCATAACAGCTATATTCTTAGGTTACAGTGAGAATTAAATAATGCATAGAAAGTCTGCACCACTGGGTCTGACACCACTCATAAATGTCAGCTGTAACTATTAAGCTATCAAGGACACAGGTTTATTCATCTTTCCCAATGAGCATGGACTGTACTAGAAGTTAGAACAAAAACAAAAAGGCAGGGCCAGGGATTTAGCTCAGTGGTTCCACCGTCTGCCTCGAAAGTGCAAGGTCCTGAGTTCGATCCCCGGTACCAGAAAAACAACAACAAGGCAGGTACACTTCCTCACACACTGACTGTAAGACACACAGAAACCCACGAGACCGCTTACCGATACGGGAGAGGTGAGAGGGCGCCAGGTTGAAAGAAGGGTGGGAGAAGGCAGCACTTCTGACTTCTGCTTTTCTAAGTTTCTGACTTTCAGAAATCTATTTGTGATTCACACATAAGAAAGAAGTCGCAAAAAAATAAAATAAAATAAAAAATAAAATAAATTAAAAAAGAAAGAAGTCGCCAGGCGTGGGGGGCTGAGGCAGAATTTCTAATTTCAGGCCAGCCTGGACTACACAGTGATAGAAAAGAACAGAACAGAACAGAACAGAGGGAAAGGAAAGGAGAAAGAAAGAAGTAAAAAAACAAAAAGATGGTGGAGACACTCAGATGGAACATAAAACAAATGACCCTGACTTGCAAATGAGTAACAGAAGAATGGGGGAGAACTAACCTACGTGATTGGAAAACAGTATGCGAGATGAACTCAAAGACAAAAGAACTGTATGCAACTGTATCCTCTAGCAAGTAGACGTTTCCCACAATGGTACCCAGAGGCATTCTGAAGCTACTGAGACAGGAGACAGAAAAGCAGGGAGTTAGGACAGGGCCCAAGTAAACTGAGACAAACTCTGGGAAGTTGGAATGCTAGGCAAGCCTGCCCTCCTAACATGAGAGGCCTAGCCAAAAGCAGCAACTGCACTGTTCTTTGTTTCATTTTCACACCAAGGTCTACATATCTGGACATAGGCCTTCCGTAGCATCTTCCTTTGGAGCTCCTCTTGGCCAACCAAGAGCCTTTCTTTGTTCTAATAAACTACACTGTTGTGTTCAGGACCCAGGGGGAGAAGAGAACTGGTTACATTGCTGGCACCCAACAGGGGCACTTCTCTCTCTATGGAGAAGTGTACCAGAATGACCAGACCTCACATTCCTTCTCCTTCTTTTTTACACCCTAAGAAACTGTGGGTACCCTACCAATTAGTTAAAAGCGACTAGAGCAGTTGCTGCTCCCACAACAGAGGACAGGCTCCCTAGCAACCTCCTGCTGGGAATGCTGGCCTGGCAGGGAGCTGGATTTCTGAGGCAGATCTCTGGATGCGAGGAACTGGTGAAAGCCAGTGTGACCGCTGCGAGGCTCAGGCTGGGGCTGCTCCCCCGTGAGTGCACAGGTCCTCCAGTGGAAGCAGGGCCACAGCAGCCTGACCCCCGACCTGCCCGCTGTGCAGCATGCACTCTTCCACGGGGTGACAGGTAAACTCACTCTGTGCTCTCCAGGCACCCCTTTCCAGGTGACCCGAGACCTCTTCCATCAGAGCCTTCTTGGAAGCCTTCACTAAGAGTTGAACTGCAGGTCTGGGCTTTTCTTTCTCTGCTAAAATGGCTGACTCCCTCTTCTCCAGATGTCTTGACAGATTTACTGTCCCAGAACATAGGATCCTAGCCCACATCCTGGGCTTCCCCAGTCCTGGGTGTCCCCGGTGCCTGGGCTCCTGCCATCACATTCAGGAGGCCCATACCTGGCAAATGGTGCCCTAGATTTCCCAGGGCAGGTATCTTTTTTTCTTTATTAAATTTTCACATAAAAAGAAGAAGTACACAGGGCACTAATTATAAGTAACATCATAACGGATGGGGCATCATCCCTCTGTAAAGACAGACAAGTGAGGTACCACTTTAGTAACATTTTTTCCTGGTCCTTTACCTTCTGTACCCTCTTTTCTTGATCTCTGATCATTGAAGACATTGCTTTAGCAGAATCAAGTGAGGGAGTGGTTTTGGTAGATCTGCACTGTGATGAGGAACCTACTGCATCTTCAGCTGAACTCGTGAGCAGTGAATGCACTGGAGACTTCTTAGGGGAAGTGAATGATTGGGAAGCTAAAGTTTTCACAGACAGGCTTGCTGTAGACGGGAACATGAAGCAACTAGATCTAGGATCTTCCAGTTCTGCATGTAACGGAACTGGCTCCCTGCTGAGAGTTCCACTTGACTTGCTGCCTTCCATGGAGTCCCTTAATGAGTTATTGCTTCTATGGCATATGTCTGATCTTAGGCTTGATTCGATAACACAATCTCTTACCCTATCATCCAAGGCCCCAAGCGACAGTGCTCTCCCCTTGTCTTCTGCCTTGCTCAGCTGCACAGCCGGCTCCTCATTTATCACGCTTCTCAGCTCCTGCAGAAGCTGTTTCAGGTCCCTCATGGGGTCTTCCTTCAGTGCGGTGGTCTTCCCAGAGTGATGCAAGAGGAAGCTGGCTGTAGACTGGGAATGGTCACTCACTCTGGCCTCAAGCTCCCGAATCTTGGCATCTTTCTTATCTTTTAAAATTTTAAACTCCTGCAGCTCCAGTCTCCTATCATTTATCTCTTTCCCAGCTGGGCCTTTTCTACCTGCATGGGCCCCACTGTGTGTCCGTGCTGGTCCACTGCATCATGTTTTCAATCTGCTGGCATAGAATCTTGATCACTCTGTCTTTCTCTGCATCTGCAGCCACAGGGCCTCGCATTCTGTCTGTGCATGCCGCAGGTTCTCCCCCTCAGTCTTCAGGTGCTGCAGTTCCTGCAGCTTCAGGTCCACGCGGGAGCGAAGCTGGTGATTTCTGTGTTGGTAGCCTCTATGGCCTGCTCTTTCTCCTGCAGGGAAGCTCTCAGGTCTGATACCGTCCTCTCCGAGCTCTCCAGGGTCATCTTCTTGGCTGTCAGCTCTTCCACCACTTTGTGCAGCTTCTCCTTGGTGGACTCGAGCTGCACAGTCAGGGAGGACACTTTCTCCAGACTCTCATTCTTCCCCTGGATCGCTGCCATCTGCCGCTCCATCTGGCCCTGGTGCTCGCTCTTCATGGCCTTGAGCAGGGCCTCCAGGTGCTGCACCTCCAGCTCCCACAGAGCAGGTATCTTGCAACCAAGGACAAGGCTGTGGGAGAGTCCTGTCATAACACACTGGAGATGAGTTTGGTTCTGGTCTGGCACCTTTCCCGGTGCTCATGGGGAGTCAATTTTAGATCCGGTCTTGCAGATACCTGTTTCTTCAACCAGATCACGAGGTGGGCCTGCCTCCTCAGTTTCAGTCAGGTTATTGAAGAGACCAATATTGGCTCCATTGTGATATGGACCATTTTCATCAATTCCTGAGAGAAAAACTCCTGTCCCCCGGACAGTGACCCTCCTTATGGAGGTTGGACTATGGGATACCCTCATGAGGGCCTTTTGTGCCTCCCGAGACGCCCTCCAAATAACTGCTATCGAACCCAATTACCCATCACAAGGATCATACTCCGAGCGAAGCCTCCCAGGGTGACACTTCGACACATATCGCAACTAATGTTCTGCTGTCCTGAGCAGAGAGAAGTGAAGAAAAAGAGCAACGGGATGTAAAGGGGACACCCGTTTCCTCCCTGCCTTTCTTACAGATGAGGAACACTCAGTCTCAGAGCTTTCCAGTTACCGCCACATTTGACCCTCAGACCTTGAAGAAAACGTGCCTAATCCTCTATACCCACGCGTGCCCTGGCTATCCCTTGAGTGATGAAGAAAATGGCCGACAGAAGGGAATAATAATAATACAGTCCTCCAACTGGACTTATTTTGCAAAAGGCAGGCCAAATGGTCCAAAGTGCCCCATGTGCAGGCTTTCTTTGCTTTGAGAAACAATCCTGATTGCTGCAGGTCATGTGGCATAGACTTGGCCCTGCTGGCAGCCCTTATCTCCTCAGCTCAAGGGGACCCCCGCACCCCAAGAAAAATCTCCTGAGCCAGGCGTGGTGGTACATTCTTGGGAGGCTGACACAGGAGGATTGCCACAGAGTTTGGGGCCAGCCTGGGCTACATAGTGAGTTCAGGACCAGCCTGAACTACATAGCAAGACCCTGTGTCTCAAAACACCAAAAACAAAACAAAACAAAACAAACAACTCCCAAGGAGCCCCCCGTTCTTACTCCTCTCTCCCAGAAAGAACCTCCTAAAGAGTCTTCCTGTCTCCCTATCTTGGGTCCATGGTGCCAGGGTAGAGGCAAAGATACCCCACTCTGCTTCCCCTCCAAGTGACGGAAGAATGGCCAGAAGGAGCTGCCCACCTGAGGTGAGCTTAGGTCCCATTCCCCCTGGGAGACCCAGGACAGAACGAGACAGGCCTAGGCAAGTTTTCAGAGGACCCTGATAGACCTCTCTTGGAGGAATGTGATGCTCCTTTTGAGCCAAATCCTCTCCAACTCAGAAAAAAGAGGCAGCTCTGAGAGAAGCACAGGTTTTGGGGATGAACAATACACTGCCCGACAAGCAGGTGAAACCCATTTCCAGCTGGGGACAGTAACAGTTCCCCATAAGGAGCCCCTAGGGGACCTTAGCAATTCAATGGGATCAGGATTTTGGAAACAGACATTTCCTGGTCAGCATATTAGAGGGCCTCCAAAGGACCTGAGTCAAACCTCTAAACCATTCCAAACTGTCAATGGCGACACAGGGAAAGGAAGAGAGTC